ACCAAACAACTGTGGGTTGTGGTGAACCAGTGACGGTCACAGACAAATCAAGCGTTTCGCTTTCCTTGATTTGTACTGCTTCAAGTGTCCTAGTAAACGTTGGTGCTTCATGTTCTTGGATGACAGCTAAAGTTGCTGAGGTTATGACTGATCCCATTATATTTTTAGCTTCGCACGTGTACAAGCCAACGTCGTGAAGGGTGGTGGAATGTATGGTGAGTGAGTATTCGGATTCGGATATCCTAGTTGAAGTGATGTGTAAACCATCAATGTTAACTGGTTGACCGTCTTTCTTCCATGTGATTTCTGGGACTGGAACTCCTTTAACGATTACCGACATGGTCGCTGTTTCACTTTCCTTCACTTCAGTGTGCACAAGTCCCTTGATCAGAGAAGGCATTTCCTTAATCTGAATCACTTGTACTTCAGCTGAGCTCTTGGCTGTTCCTGCCATGTTTGTCGCTTCCACCGTGTACTTTCCTGAATGTGAGCTTCGAGATTCTCTTATGATCAGAGAATAGGTGCTAGATGAAACGTCGTGACGAATCTCGTGTATCTCGTCTTGCTGTATTAACTGTCCGTCTCTAAACCATGAGACTTGAGGCTCTGCGCCAATTATCTTCACCTCCATTCGAATTTCTTCCTTCTCCGTGATCGTTAAGCTTCTCAGACCTTGCTCAAATATTGGTGGTGTAACTTTTTGTGAAACTTTAGCAGTAGAAATCGCTGCCCCGACAGTGTTTTTCGCTACAGCTCGATACATTCCAAAATCGTTCCTACACGTCTCCTTGAGCAACATTCTCCAATACGTTTTTGTTATATCATGTTCGACAGAGATCCGATTCGAGGATAGCATTCTAACGTTTTCACGGTAGAATTCCACGGAAGGTTGAGGAATACCTTTCACCGCACAGAAAAGAATTAATTGTTCACCGATCGATATCGATTGATCCGTGAGCCATTTTGTGAATGTTGGTGCGAGTGCTGTAATGCAGTTAGTTTGAGGATGCAACACACGACAATTAAAGTGTGGATCGAATCTTCCAGGGTCTAAATTCACTATGACATGAAAATACTTGCGGCACTGAAGTCGATTAAATCCACACTTGTGCAAAAAACTTCAAAAAATAGGAAAATCTATAGTTAATTGTGCTTTGTGATTAATTGTGCAGGGTTGATTAATGGATTTAGTATCAAAAGGTATATATTTTGACGGAGTGATCGGCTTGCTTGAAAAAAAAATTGTCAAAAAAATTTGAAAGGCTTCACAGCACTCACATTCTTCCACCTTCAGCATGGCCTCAGTACGACTTGTTCCAGCAACATTTTCAGCAACGCAGCTGTATTTACCTTCATGCTTTACCTGCAAAAGAAAAGCAGTCAATTAAAATTAGCTGCATTAACGTAATATAATTGACGTACTTGAGTGGAAGTGATGACTAGTCGCTCGACGCCATCCTCGCTTTCGATAAACACTTCCCTAGCGTGTTCTTCAAGAACTTTCTGAAATATCATGCAAATAGACTACGAAGGAATAAACTCTTACATGTTACTGTATAATATCGGATATTCGCCGTAAAGTAATGCCGGCTCAGTCTGAATGCCGGGAATGCGGGTTAATGGTCTGAATCTTCCCACCGACACAGCTCAGGGGAAACCGCCCTAAGAATAAGCAGTACGAAAATGCCTACTGTCGCTCGTTTTTTACCATGAAAAATCCTTATAATTATTTCGAAGTACTGACCCTTCAAGTTTTTTTTTGCTCAAGCTGGAATAATTTGGAGAAAAGTTTTGTGAATAGGTAAGTGGAAGAGCTTCCTACCACAGCAGTAATCATATGTCCACTAAAAGGATGAGCGCCAAACGGTCGTGGTCTGTACTTTGCATTAGAGACTTGTAATTTCCCAAGGATTAAGCCGGGAGCCGAAAGTAAGCCCTGGGTGAAAAGCCGTGATGTAATTGAACTTTTTGCAATACCGACACGGTGTTGCCGAATGTGTTGTATACAAGGTCTAATTGAGGCTGAGTGATTCATATCAAAGGGTTTTTTGCGTAAAAGGTGATGAGAGAGATTTCCGGAATAACAGCGCTTCATCGTTTTATGGAGTAAGCTCGAGGCCAAATTCATCTCATTTTGAAAACACTTAAATTCATGATCTAAAAACGGCGTGTTTTCCTAACAACGCATATACAATATTGTGGACATGATTTTTCAAAAACTTTGAAACTCACATTTTCGTGGTACCAAATGACATTTGGTTTTGGTTCACCGACAACTTTACATTCGAAAGTAACTTTCTCGTTTGTCATTGTAGATTTATCTTTTAGTTGAACGATGAACTCAGGTGCACGATCTGGCACTTTATCGAGAGTTTCTGAAGTAAATCAGGGTAATATTGCTTCACGTCTTGTCATTGAAGGATTCCATACTGGCATACTCACCAACAACTGTCAATGTTGCTTCACATCGGTCTTGACCTGCAGTGTTCTCAATAATTACGGTATATTTGCCTGCGTCTTCTGGTCGTACATCATCTGTAAATATTACTTATTTACTTTTTCCTAAGAAATTGCTGCGAGCCCTTATATCGTTGGGGAACGAAAATCTTCGGTCGAATGCTACCCGGTGGAAACCTTTTCTTTCTAATATTAGCTTTCCATCGCATCCCACTACCACATACTTCCAATTATTTCTGCCAGTAATGTATTTTATTTCAGCAGTAATGACAACAGCAACTAAACGGAACTTATCCACTATCGAATTACTTCATCTATGCGGGACCTTCAGAATTAATAGGGTGTTTTATCCGGCATTCAAGATTGGCCAACCACTTTTTCGGAGCCTTAGTTTTTCTACTGCTTTCTAGCTGTTGTGAACGTTTCATATATCATTGTCTTTTCCTCCTTAAATAATTTCATTCAACCCTTCCTGTTTTCTCTAATTCTCTTTCCTTTTTCACTTCCTCTTTCCTATCCTGTAATTTCCTATTCTTTCCTCACTGTTTGAAGAGGAACTTGTGCTAAGCCCATGTGCTCATTATGGACTGTAAGAAACCAGTTACTAACTAAGATGCGTTGAATGCGCGTAATATGTGTGTTTTCGAAGAAAACTTGGGTTTACTGCTGGACAGTCACCGTCTTTTGCAGGCCTATCAGAAACGATGCTACTATAATATTTGATTCTGTGTACAAGATTCCTCTCTACAGTAGTTGATATTGTCGGAGGTCCTAAGACGTTCTACATTCAAAAGGCTGAACCGTCTGTAGCTTTGGTAAAGCTTGAAAGGAAAATTCTGATTCCGCGTCATAGTAGCTCAGTAATTACTTGTTAAGTTGATGTTGTAACACTCCAATAGCTGGCAAAGGTGGGTGTGGTGCATTAGGAACGAAATGGTCGCGTCGCGGTGAGAGGGCCGTCGCGTGCGAAGGAATGTAGCAGGATGCAGCAGTAGGTAAGAAATACAAAAACAAATGTACTAATAGTAGAATTGTGCATGAAATAATGATCGCATATCGATTGAGCTGTAGAGAGCGCTAGAGCTGTAACAACGGCAAATGAGTGGCCCGCGACAGCCGCGTGCGGCGAATCGATTACCCAAGATCGTTCCTAACGCCCGTCTCCCGGCAAAGGTTTGATCTTCGGTATTAGGGTGATTGAATTCTAAGGTGACTTCACATTCATTCACATTAGGTGACTATAAAACGTACCAATGATTAATTCATGAGCGACGTGTCCTTCGATAGTTCGTGTTTGGACTCGAATTCGAGCAATAAGTTCAATTTCTTTGCCATCTTTCAGCCTGAAAGTGTAGTGCGTCAATCAATATGGCAGATGTTTACAGAACACCCGTAGTAAACTTACCATTTACAGCATACGCCTTTGGTATCCGGTACAACACATTCGAAAATGGCCTCGTGACCACGTTTTGCTCTGGAGTCCTTGATTTTCGTGATGAACTTCGGTGCCATTACTGGTGTAGGTGTTCGCATCAATTCTTCACGAAGGGATTCATCATCGGTTAGCGTCATATCGTCAGCGATCACCTAGATTCAAAGCCATGGCGATGAAGAGAGAGGATATCGTCACTAGGACCGACTGCTTATCAGGAATTTCATAAAATGTGTTAGTAAAAAATCAAAGTGATCTTACATCTTCGGCTTGTGCTTCGGATTCGCTCTCACTGAACATCTCGCTGGTATAGGTGACCATGTTCGCCGTACACGACACCTCACCGGCATCGTTTTCCGCCTTAAATGTACCTATCAACTTCATACATTAGTACGGCCCTACGAGGATTTCTCGAAATGCGGCGACTGGTTCGCAGGAACGTCGTGCCGCTTTAGGAGGAAGCAATGCATTGGAGAAGTTAAAATACTCCCGAAAACATACCTTGCAGATGATTTCTCCAACGTGAATATCAGGATTGAAGCTGTTAATGGTGAGCGTAGAAGTTTTGTCATCAGTGACGATGGAAATCTCGCTTGAGTTTGTCACTTCCTTGTTGTTGATGTACCATGTTAGTGTTGGTTTGGGGTCGCCAGTGAAGACAACCTAAACCTTCTTGTTTGGAGAGAATTGGCCAACTACTTAAGGTTCCTACTCCTAGAATTATCGGAGTAACCCACCTTATGCACTACTTTGGTCTCTTTTCGGGCTCGTACATTACTTAGCCATTCGAGGAAGTCTGGCGGTTCTCCACGAGGCAATACCAATAACATTGCCTCGCTGGACGCTTTGCCGTACTCGTTGACGGCTTCGCAGACAACCTGAAGTTGAGTAGCTCAAAGAGAACTGCCTGCAATAATGCTGCGACCTCGAATTGAGTATCCCATTTTTAGACTGAATATGAACCTAGTAACTACTATACTACATTTGCTCTGAATCACGTTCTTCGACAGAATTGGACTTTTGGCCATAGTGCCTCTTTTTGGAAATCTTTACTTACCTTTCCGCTGTAGTCACAAGTGATGTCCTTGATGGTGACAGTGTAGGTACCTTTTTCAGAGTGAATCTTGATATTCTGGGATTCTTCCAATTTTTTGCCATTGACATACCTTAACAGTCAGTCATTCCTTGTTGTGGACTCATGACTACGGCAAGATTGTTCAGCTAATGCCGAGAAGTTCAACTCGTAAACGCATATGATAGGAGTTGTCACCAATACCTCCCATTAGCTCCCGAATGGTAGCAGAAAAAGAAAAAACTAACCAAGAAACGACTGGAGTGGGCTCTCCGAGAAGAACCGCCTTTAGCTTGAGCGTATCGCCTTCTCGGCATGTCGCATCACATAGCGATGTTTCGAATTCGACGGGAATCGGTGCCACAACTTTCAGTGGTCCTTCTGTTGATACTTCACCCATCTGAAGTATAATGTCATACAGTTTATACATTTTTTCGTGTTTCCAATCTTCCATGCTACCCCGGTCGTTCAGAGATTAAGATTACTCGTCTTAGGTCAGCCTCCACGAATAAGACAACTAGTATGAATGAAGTTGAACTGATCGCTAGTTGGCTTGATTACTTGCAGTTCAATTAAAATGAGTGGAATATATGTGACTTTTAGGCGGTCACAAGTGTCGAAACCTCCATATATTTCAATCGAATTATCAAATCTACAAAATGGGAACAGTCACGGTAAGGTAGTGATGATGTGACTAACATAGATTTGCGCGCGGTCACGGTAGCTCAGTGGTACAGTGGGTAAGTTAGAGTGATTTCGGGGACTCGGGTAGTTCTTATCGCAATCACTTAATTTCTCCTTCTAATAGGGAAAGGACTATGGTCAGAAGCGAAATTAGTATGATCAAGCACCTTACCTTATTGTAAGCGACACATTTGATTTTTCCGGTCATGTCAGCCGTAACTCCATGAATTGTAAGTGAATACACTCCATCTACGTTCTTGATTTCAGTGTCTTCGGTTTCACAAACCAACTGAAAAGAATCACATGGCAACTGTAAACGCATAGTCGAAAGAAACTGGGTAGGTGGTAGCCGATGGCCAGTTTTTATCCCTTCTTACCATCAACAATTACACAAAAATGGAACTAGAGGAAAAGCAAAGACATGGACAGTAGATACCTGGTTGTTAATATACCATTTAACGAATGGTGTTGGATCGCCGGTAATGAGAAGTTTGGTCTGTAGCGAATCTCCCTCTGTCAGATTGATCGGAGCGATATCGCTTTGGAATGCTGGTTTCGCCATGGGACGCTTCTTCACCACACCCAATGAAGCGGAGCATTCTGCACAATGTGTTTTTGTGTAAGACCGGACATAAAAGTGAAAAAAACTTCTCACCAGCAGTTCCAAAATAGTTTTCGGCTTTAATAGTAATTCTGCACTTGTCCTCCATAGCTGTCGAGATAATCTTAAGCTGAAGCGTGCCATCATCGGCATGGGTCAGTACGAAGTGGTCGTCACTGCTGAATTCTTTGCCGTCTCGTAACCATGTTACTGTCGGTTTCGGTTTTACCTGAAACATCGGGAATCCGAGGATTCTTATGATATGGCGTTGGACCTATTGATCTTACCTCGTTCAGTTTTGCCTCCATTATGGTTACCTCACCCTCGGTGACAAGGCGATCTTCGATGTTTTTCGAGAAAGTAGGTGCTTCACCTACTCGCTTTACATTCAGCTGCACATTTTGTTTCTTCGTGCCGCTGGTGTTCGAGGCCTTCAAGCATAGCCCATGAGCGGTTGTAGGAGTTCTACATGCTAGCGCGATGAAGTAACAATCCTACCTGGCAGGACAATTCACCGGATTGTTCTGGGGTGATTTCCTTGATCTCGATGGTGTGTTTGCCGGCATCATCGGTTACAGTGACGTTCCTAAAAACGACCCGAATCATACACTACGATAGAATGCATTAAGTGCTCCATCTTAGTGAGTTCAGATGAACTTCCCACATTCTGGCCCTTGGCATCATCTCTGATCATTTTCCCAAGAACTGATGAAGGTAAAAGAACGAAATCATCGATGCATTCCTACTCCTTTGAGGAAACAGTGCGGCTAGGCTTATTCCCTCCGAAAACATGAGGGAGAATACGTTCTATCTAGACTACCCAAGCCATAGCTAAATAAAATGAAAGCATGAGTACTTACGGGTATTTGGTGATAGGCTCGCCATTCAGCAGCCATTCGACCGTCGGTTCCGGATAGCCTTCTACAGTTGACGTGTATTTTACGGTGTCTCCTATAATTCATAAGTCGTCAATGGTAAAAGTTGATGTGAAAGAAAGCAGATTGTGCTGGATTCTCACATGAGAATCGTGGAGATAAAGTCAAGGTACTGGTAGGTCCCATGGACTAGTATGAGTATGTAACCGTACCTTCTTTGACTTGACGATCGTCCATGTTGCTGGTGAACTTGGGNTGCTCATTGATCTTACTTAGCTAGCTTACAAGTAGCCTAGCTTGCTAATTACAACAGCTTACCTTCAAGGTTGCCTTAGCCTCTGCACTTCCTTCACTATTTTCAGCAACAACTCGGACTGTACCACTTTGAGCAATTTGGGGTTTGTAGATACGAATTGATGTCTTTCCGGTTTCCTCTTCGAATTTGACCTTGATTTCTTCGCTGCTCTCAATTTTCTTGTCGTTAAGATACCAAGTGATCTGAAAGATGGTCCTCCAATAATCTTCTGAATTCATAAGGTGAAACAAATCAGCTTCGTAGTTTTCAGGTTCAGCTTTAGGGAGCTTCTAAATCTGCTACAGTGACAAAAAAGCAAAATATCCAGTTTCAAATTTTAAAAATCGGCAATTTTAGAGTTCAAAGCTACACAGGTAGGAGAAAGATTACCTTGGGTGTAGGTGTCCCGACCACAATAGCGCTGAACTTCACACTGTCTTCATCGATGTAGACGTCGTGATTCTGTGGTACTTTCGTGAATTCGGGTTTGCGTGTTCCCTTCTCCACGACTATCTGTAGTATAGGGATTGAACTTTACGCCCCCTTTCATACTTAACTACGAACTTTCCGTACTTCAAGTGACTTTTTATCAAAACAAGTTACCTTTCCTGAGCATTCACATGCTCCTACAGGATTGACGGCTCTTACAACTACAGCTCCTGCTTGATCTTCTCGGATATGTTCAATGGTTAGGTGATAAGTGCCGTTTCCATCATCGCTTACCTGAAATGACACCGAACTTTCAAGATCTAGAGAGAAAACCAATTCTTCTTTAAAAGCTTTGCTGCCGAGGTGCAGTCAGGGTGATGCTTTCAAGGTTTTTTTTTCTAAATCCTGCGATCGATCACCTTCAAGACTATGTGGGAAAAACCCTGCCCACATTTACTGCTGTCTCAACAGATGTACCTAGTTCCCATTTCCCCAGGTCAGCTGTTCTAATTAAGAAAGCATTTTTTGGTCCTAACGCATAGCCGTCTATTCTTTAACTATTGGTATGCAAGCTTTCAGAAGTATTGGCACAGACCAACCCACATGCCTCCCGGTCAAAAACACGCACATTTGGGTTATTCCAAACGGTTCGCCTACACAGTAGCTTACTTCACAGGAAAAATTTCGCAGAAAAAGTATTCACAATAGTGATGAAGATGGAAAACCCGATCGGTTCGATCCAAGAGGCCTTTTGGGACGACGGGAACAGCAGAGGGGTTTCGCTAGATGCACTGCTACAGCATAAGCCATCCCCAATCGAGAAAATGGATGTTGCACTCGTAAAAATAAAAAGCACTGAGCCAGAACTGGCAAAGGCCAGACCTAAAACCGCACCTTGACATCTGGCGATGACTCCATTTCCTTTCCTTCGACGAACCATTTCACTGTTGTACTTGGTTCAGGGTTGTCAAGGGTAACAGAAAGCTGTAACTGCTCGTTCTCCTTTACGGTTTGCGAAGTGAACTGGCTCTTGAAAGTTGGTGCCGCCAACGATGGCTCCACCTAAAATTGGGAGAGTTGGTCGATCAGCTCACAAAATACTGGTAAATCGCAAGAGAATTCACTTTAGATTCACTCACTTTCAGTTCAGCTGTGCTTGAATCGCTGCCAACTGTATTCTCCGCTGTAACCTTGACCGTACCGCTGGAACTGGTAGTGGTTTCGGTTAGCTGGAGCGAGTACTCGCTTTCGTATCGGCACACTTTTACGGTCTTGCTCTCTTCAACCACTTTGTCGTTGATAAGCCATTTGACAGTCGGTTCGGGATAGCCGGTGATTTTGGCCTGAATATCAGCTGCTCATGGCTTTTTAGAGTACTCTAGTGAAGATCCAGTTAGGATCGAAAAGGACGGGACCCAGCGGCAATCACTTCAAGAAGCGACACTAAAGTCTGTATGGTATAAACGGAAATGAATGAAATTTTGAAACAATTCTAGTTTGTAGACAGTGAAGTCTTTGAGAGGCATCCTTAGCCACCCTACTGATGTAAATGACAAGTCTGTAAGTAAAGGGAGACATCGGTAAAGGTCTACTAACGAATAAAGGGAAGCCAGCTAGCGTTCGCTCTGTCTCGAACAACTGTCGCGACATGTTACTACATTGGGCACAAAAACGTTCGGTTACCCATTTGCCCTGGATCGATAGAGCCGTTACACCACAGATATTCTCACCTTGAACTCCACAGATTCCGACTCCTTGATGGTGACATTCTTGGGCCCTTCCAAAATTTGAGGAGCTGTAGATTTGGGAGATACTGTAATCTGCGATGATGACTCCTCCATACCAGCCTCGTTGACGGTGATCACCATGACTGAAACAGAATGCAGTTGTCATGAATAAGTCTGTTCAGCTGAAGAAGAAAAGAAGAGCTAGTCGCTGTTCCATCCCTAGAAAAATGGCACCTACGTTTTCCGGTGTGGGAGGGTTCGGCTTTGTCGATTGTCAGAGAAGATTTGTCGCCTTCAGTGACAATATGAACGCCATTTTTGCCATCCTGAAAACAGCTTTCGCTTAAGAGGTAGAAGTAACTGTTTGTCGTTGTGAATGGATTTTTTATTGAGAAAAAATCAAGTCAGCTTTCATTAGAGCTTTCATTTTCACATTCCAGTCTGTCCAAAGAGAGTGTATCGGCCCCAACAGTAAAACATGCTCTATTACGTCCGCAGTCTTTCGAACATCTCCTAGTCCCTTTCCACCTCAATCACCTTTGCATTCGTTCAAGGAAGAAGTGCTGAACGTTTGTATTCGCCCGAAAGTTTTCCTTCATCCTTTCGGGTCTTTCCTACAAATCACACCTACCATAACTCAACTCTGACGAGAATAGACTAATATAAGCAAACAAGGATGGGTATGACGACATCAGACGGATGGTAAAGCTGACTTTGAAGTCTCTTGTAAGAGAGACATGACTACACGAGCTTGTATTTGGGAGGGCTAGGAAAACTGCTAGTGTTTGCGGGGGATAGACTTCCTACACTGTAAGGGGTTCAGACTCAAAAGTTTTTTCAACTTGTACCTCAAGTGTCAGTCCATTTATCATCCATTTGAATTGTGGACTGCCTTTAGCGGCTATATCCACTTTAATTGGTTCGCCTAATGTCGCTTCCACGTCCTTTAGCTTTTCTGTCAGTTCTGGTTTTTCGACAACTTTCATTTCACACCTAAAATTTAAGTAACTCATTACTAGTATACCTTAAGGCCAACGTATTGAGAATAAGTGCTCACTTCGTCTCTACTGAGCCTGTTTCGTTCGTTGCCTTCACGGAGATCGTACCCGTTGGATACATCGAAGAATCGATCGTTAATTTATATACATATTTGGTCTCCTCAGTGATTTTAACCCCTGAAATTGATTTAATCATTTGTTTGACTTTTTCTCAACCCCATTCTATCAGTTCTGCTTCTCTGTACGCCTACACGACCTCACCTTCGGTCGTCATCTTCAATTCGTTGCCGTTATGGTACCACCGAGTGTCTGTGGCATGTTCAATGACGACTTCGAAGTGGCACTGCTCGCCCTTTACAACTGTCTGGTCTTTAAGATCCCGCATGATTTTCGGCATCTACAAAATGTATTTTTTTATAGACAAAAACGATATTCTTGATCAAATCAACCTCAAGGTATGCCTTGACCTGTACAGACCCCATAATAATTATTAAATATACTTTAGTGTCCAATTTATAAAGATTTCTCGTATTTTTCTTAATTCGTTAGAAGCGTGGTCGAACGCAGCAAAAAAGCCAAGCATCTAAGTAACGCTGTGCAGTAGTCTACCTCGATTGTTGTTGGTTTAACATCGACTGTCTGCGGCGCCTCCTGTTTGACGTCCTCCTCGACTTTTCCTCCAAGCGACTCCAGCACTTCGGTGCCAGTGGTTTCTGTAGCCGCTTGCATTTGTTCAGAGACCTGCTCGGTTGTGATAACCTGAGCAGTTGGCTCGGTAGTGATGTTTAATTCCTGATGATATTCCTCCTTCATCGTTTCCTCTGTCACGGTTGGTTTCGATGGAGCCATTTCAATCTTTAAAGGTGCTTTTAAATTACCAAACTAACTGTACTACTCTTGCAGAAAGCGTTGTGTGGGGTTATGGTCTGCTGTGACCTCACACGAAACTGAGAAGGAAACCGAAGAAGGACGAGTTGATAGAGCCCGATGCTGCTTAGTCAGGTTAGTAAGCGACTAAATTTCTGGTTAGAAAGCGCTAAAGAACCGAAGGTTGTTACAGCTTGGAAACCGAGGAAGTCCGTACCACGACTGGTTCCCTAAATTACCTGTGAGATCTCGATTTTGCCTTCTTGGATAGTTTCGGTAGAGGTCTTGCTTCCAGACACTTCTACCTTCTGTTCAGATACCTTAATGATGTGCCAGTCTGACGGCTGTGAAGCATTTAATGTGAGATAACTTGATCAGTGGGTTACCGGTGCTGTGCGAATATTAAGGAAAATAAAGAAAATTTAGATAATCCACATTATTTGTTAAATGTGGACTTGTAAATAGTGTTGAAAGAATGATAGATAGACTCAGGTCTCCCAATAAGGTAGAAGTAGTGAATAATGGGTACTACGGACCTTCTTCTCCTCAACTGTGAGTCGAGCGCCGGTCTCGTCCGCTCCGAGACTGTTCTCGGCGACTACAGAGATGGTTGACGAGACTGAATGTATATTCGTATCCACGATCAGCACTGACGTACCGTCGACCATCTCGACACGACATCCCTCTGTACTCTCGCGGATCTGAAAACAGTGGTTAGTTCTGATGCTTATCCTGGGGTTTGAAGTCTTCGCAGAGTTTTGGGTCGAACAGTCTTAGCTGTGCACAGTAGGACTCTAATAGAAGTACTTTTTGAGTAAAGAAACCTGTAAAAGACAGATCTGAACCAGATAGCAGTCAAGGGAGAACAAATTCAGTGGGTTCATCGTTCATGGCTGCCGAGTTCGGAAACTTGCCCCTTTTTGCGAGCACTATTAGCAAGTAGCCTGTCGCTTATAGGTATGCTCTCCTTACCAGATTGAGTATCATTTATAGATATCGATTTTGGCAAATATGAATTGTACAAAGTAAATACCATTACCTTTCTCCCATCTATTGACCATTGATAAGTTGCAGCAGGAGTAGCATCTGCATGTGCCTCGAACCTCGCCTCGGACCCTCTGAATTCAATGGTTCAACATTTATATTAGAATATAAGGACTAACAAGAAATCTGATTGAACCCAAAGCTCTCCCGAAAAAACGAAACTTCCGGATTACCTTTCGACCGTTATACTCTTCGGTTGTTTNAAGTAGCCTGTCGCTTATAGGTACGCTCACCTTACTAGATTGAGTGTCTTTTACAGATGTCGATTTTGGCAGATCTGAGTTGTACAAAGTAAATACCATTACCTTTCTCCCATCTATTGACCATTGATAAGTTGCAGCAGGAGTAGCATCTGCATGTGCCTCGAACCTCGCCTCGGACCCTCTGAAGTGAACGGTTCAATACAGAAAAAATATGACGGACTAACGGGAAATCTATTAGGAAACCAAGTTTTATCACGAAAACAAAAACTTCTGATTACCTTTCGACCGTTATGCTCTTAGGTTGTTTATCGAACGAGGGTGGGAACGGTTTACGATTCACTCCAAGTTGTGCGGTGGAAATTGCTGAACCTTCGGAATTTGTCGCTTGACAACGGATCTCTCCGGCATCTTCTAGTTTGATCCCTCGTAGCTCAAGTTTCACGGATCCGTCGAAGTCGCGGATGACAATGTTCTGGAATTTGATTTTGAGCACATGTTCCCATTTGGGTCGTTAATCCATGCTCCACCAATTTTGGTGGCAATAAAGCGAATCTGGAAGGACATCACTCTCACCTCTGAGCCGGTAATCTCGACATCCTTCCGGAACCATTTGATTTCAGGCTTAGGCTCAGCTTCAAGTCTTGCCTAAATCGATAGTCTTCGTTTCCAACCTTGTCTTACAGCGTCAGCTGATGTCGCAATGACGGGATTACAAACAAAACAAAAACAACAACGTGTGTCACCTCGAACACAACTGTGTTGCCTTCGACTTCCGTTATATCACTGAGCAATTCAGTGAATCGTGGCGCTTTCTTTGGTTTCTCCTGAGGAATGACTGTCAGACGAGCTTTCGTCTCGAATCGGCCAACGATGTTTTCAGCCCTTAAAAAATGGGATGTCAAAAATGCAAGTACATACTCAAAGTGTAGGGGATACAAGTCATATGTGAACTAGTTATTGAGGGCTTCAAGTTACCTGCATAATACCGTTCCAGCGTATTGTGCTGAATCGATTGTAAGCTTATGATCATGGTTGACGAACTGAAAGTAGAATATCGATCAGTCAGATATCGATTTTACAACGATGAGTTAAAATGGTATATCAATAAACAACAAAAACTCGATAAGGACATGGTAGAGACAAAAGTCATCGGTAAACAAACAGTAAACAATAAAATCAAAATCCGCTCTTACCTCGATTTTCACTCCAGGAGTGTCCTTGTCCATCTTTTGACCGTTAATAAACCACGTTACTTCAGGATTTGGACTACCTCGAACTGTGGTCTCAAAGACCGCGTGCACACCGTACTTGACGGTCTGAAACAGAAAACTACCATTTCTCGAATAGAAAGAATACTTTAAACTTTCTAACCTATATATACAGACAAAGTTATATGGTTCGACTCTGAACGAGGCCACGATGGTGCAGGGGCGAGGGGAAGAGGAAGAAAGAGGCAAGATGAACTGCCTCAACAGAGGCACAGTTGCCCAAGTTGCAATGGCAAACACAACACAACTCACCAACGACGCGAAGCATGGACTGCGTTTTTACAGCGCCAACATATCAATACGTACGCAAGCCAGATGGATGTCGTTGAAGGGAAAGGGAAAGAGGATACCCAATGGAAGAGAATACACTAGACGACATTTACTGACTGGTACGGGGATGTAAGTTCTCGGGGAAAGTACCTGTACGCATAGAGAGTAGAAGCTTGCCCCGCCACTTGAAAAAACAATCCTATTCGCAGCAGCCGCTTCGCGTCCTTTCAATGACAGTGTGAGTGAGTGAATAGATGGAATGTGAACGAGTGGATACCCCCAAAAACTCATGGCAGGGCAAACCAAAGGAATGAGAGGATTAGGTATAGTTGTTTTCATGAATGAATCCTTCTATCCTCTTTGTGAAGCCCTAAATTTCTCCGGAACCGTGGCAGGAGCGCTGTCTTTCAGGCAGCCCGTTTTCAAGCCCCATTCACTTTCCTTCTTTCTGAGGATCTAATAAGTTGCTTGAGGCTTCTGATGGCTTCCAAATGAAGTCCCTTGCCAATAAGTTAGTTCATCACTGAGTTCTACACAGCCTCTTAGGTGTCCACACGTTCTTCATTCTTTGAGATTAGGTGGGGGTGGTCGGAATTCACCGAGTCGTAGAGGAGTGTTGAACAGGTGGAGCTATAAAAGTGGTTGCAATGGAAAGACGACAGAAAAAACGTGCGAATCGAACCGGCATCGGTCTGTTTAGAGCTCGATAAACAGGTCATGATTAAGCAGTTACCTATGACTGTCAAGGTGGGCCATGCACGCATATAAAAAATCATTTACACCCTAGTATAAGGACTTTGTTTACGTGAAGATGACTTGTTCTGCAGAGCACCCTTTTCACAAGAAGAACAATCCAACTTACTAAAGCTGACCAGTGGTCAGTTCCTAGCTGTGAGTCATGGTCATGTCCAGTACAGTGCGAACTCATAGAGGGATCCCCAATAGCAGCCGGTACTACATTTACCATCTCCCAACATCAATTCCTGATCTACAAATCCCAGCTTGGAACAGGTGACTCAGGAGAAAAACCAGCCTTCGGCCCGTACACTCCTCAATACTGAACCACTGGAGCGAGAGCACCGTCTATGGGACTAAAGTCATCGGCATATCGAAATGTGCTCCAAGCCGTCATCAAACTTCACTCATTTACGTTTTCATGTATATATACCAGTCTTATCTATGAAATGACTAGAGTTAAGTAGCAGAGCGGTTCTTGGAAGCTTCTTCAGTACCTCGAAACTAATTTCAGGTAACGGGAGCCTATCCTCCAGATTTATAGTTGTTTTGACTAGCTAGCTAGCTAGGGGCAACTTTATGGAGCTATTGTCTTGATTACACTTTGACACAGCAGTTGGTGTTTTGGGCTCATGAGCAACGGCTGGGATCCTTTCATCGGAATCTGTCCATTCCAGAAATCATCGACTATTTCATCTAAGCTTCTTTTTCATAGCAATTTCATATTTAGAGGCATCTCTATGAATAATTTTCTTTTTGCCTTCACAAGATAGAGAGTTGTTGACCTCTTAGGGCGTAAGAATACCCTTATAGCCCTTGTCTCCTTGGAACCGGTCACAACCATTTCCTCTCACTCTACCGGAGTAAAAACGTTGTAGTTCGCTGTTTACCTGATCCTCGATGTCTTTGATAAACGTCGGAGCACTTCTTGATTCTTCTTCCATTGGTTCGACGGTTAGACGAGCTCGACTTTCAGCAGTACCGTGCTCGTTCACNTTGATTACACTTTGACACAGCAGTTGGTGTTTTGGGCTCATGAGCAACGGCTTAGATCCTTTCATCGGAGTCTATCCACTCCAGAAATCACCGATAACTTCATCTAAGCTTCTTTTTCATAGCAATTTCATATTAGAGGCATCTTTATGAATAATTTTCTTTTTGCCTTCACAAGATAGAGAGTTATTGACCTCTTAAGGCCTACGTATACCCTTATAGCCGATTATTTTCTCACTTGGAACCGGTCACAACCATTTCCTCTCACTCTACCGGAGTAAAAACGTTGTAGTTCGCTGTTTACCTGATCCTCGATGTCTTTGATAAATGTTGGAGCACTTCTTGATTCTTCTTCCATTGGTTCGACGGTTAGACGAGCTCGACTTTCAGCAGTACCGTGCTCGTTCACTGCTCGGCAGATAATTTCACCATCGTGTGCATCCACTGTGCAGCCGGAGATGATCACCTTGTAATAACCATCTGCGCCAGCGATATCTACACCATCCATGCCGTGTTTCAGCTAAAACATTCGCAGTTTTTAAAGTTCCGAGCAGTAGATATTTATTCAAAATAATAATTTTTTCTGAAGATTCCGTGATGAATTGTCAAAAAGATAAAGTCGATTTAGGTATTACTTTAAAATATTGACATCACTTGTTTGACGGATTTTTTCATTATTTATTTATTTATTTATGCACTCGTAGGCGCGCTTATTATATACGTTTTTAAAACAAATTACTGAAAACTAAAGATTTTTTGTACAAAGTTCATTCCAAACAAGGTCTACTAATGAAATTAGAACTGTCGAAGAAATTCAAAGTAATATTTTTTTAAAACATGGTAGAAATACTAACCTCTTTTCCTTTCAAATAGAATGTAACGGTAGGGTCTGGATAACCGAGAACATCGACGTCAAATGAGACCTGAATAGATTAATCAGTGATCGGAATATCTAGAGAAGCCGATCTAGTAAGCAATTATCAGTCTATTAAAAAAAATTCTTCATCGATGGAATGGGATGGCTTGGCACCGTTTCCAAATTTGGTACATTGTTTCAAATGTCAGCCTTAAGAAGAAGAAAAAATATCCAGTTTAATTCTGAGACGCTCAACTTTTATCTTTTTTATTTTAATTTACAAACTTCTTTTTTTGATGTGCATATTCCATGAAACTTTGATGCCGAGCTACGACTATGTCATTCCTTTTTTGTGCGTAATTTAGGTATTTTATTTACTTTCTAGGAAGTAAATGACAAGTCAAATGATTCGACCCACCACGGCGTTTTCCTGTACAATTCGATCCTCCAACGGTTTTGCAAATGATGGAGGTGCTGGTGGTACTCGTACTTTAAGACGTCCATCACAGCTGGTCGTTCCGAGTCGATTTGATCCCTTTAGAAGGAAACAGGTAATTACAATGCAATAATTCGTGTTTTTTTAATTATCTGTATTTTGTCGATGCACATCACCGTGCCATCTGGGGTTGCTATTATATAATCGTGTGGTGAGTAATATGGGTCCTGAATGGAAAATTTGAAGACGGGCTTCGACCCGGTTTATTCATGAGAATCCCTTGTAGGAGACGATAATGTGCGTTCTTTGATTTTAATAATTCCTGATAATTGTAAGGTAAATTATAATGCCGGTCAACTAGTCGTAGACAATGAGCGATAAATACGATGATGGTACGGGGAACAAAAAATTCAAAACTTTTGAGTTAAATTATTTTTTTTTTATTTTCAAATTTTTAAATTTGTAATCTATTGATATTGAAGATCTCCTGCATAGTTTTATTCTGTTGTTTGTTTTAAAGTGACAACGAAGTCGAAGGGTTACTGTTTCCTTACGTGTTCGCCTGCCTCATGCCCCTTGGATAAGGGTAACAGTGTAACAAACAAGTTTAAAGCGGTGCCCGGGGGGATGGGATGATACCAAGTAGAACTCCCACCCAACCTCTAGCCCATTCGGCTACCCCCACACCTGGTCAACACGTGGCTGAACGCTAAAAGACAATTTATCATGGCTGCCAATTTTCCACCAAATTTCCCTCGTCAAATTTTTTCAATTATCGCCGTTCTGGTTCGCCCAGGCCCTTCACATTCCTATCATTTGCCTCTATCGATTAGTACAATGCTTAAATAAATCTGCGGGGGTAGGTGTAATATGCCGCTCTGGATTGCTGGGCTATGCCGGTGATAGAGAACAGCTGTAACTAGCACACGAGCAGAATACTGATAAAAATAGAAAGATTACTAGAAGCATATTAAGAAAATTCGTAAGTAGGAAATCGTAATAAGTAAAAATAATAAAAAATAACATGACATCAGTGTAGCTTGAACGGATTCAAAGAAGCACTTGTTTCAATGTCTGCCCCTGAATAAGGATGAGTAGGGAACCGGTGCAAAAGGGTCGCGAGTGGATGAGAAGGCCGGCTGAGTCTAATGTCTGACAGACCAAATGGAAAAAAAAATTAGGTGAAAGAGATGTAAGAAAAAGTAGGGGTCGAGAAAAGACATGAAAAAAGCAGTACAGTAAAGTACTTACAGGAAATCAAAGAAAACGTTTTAGGTACTGTAAAGGTACTGTAACGAACCTGGCATGTGACGGTTCCATCAAAATGTCGTGTTACATCTTTAATTATGAGAATACAGATACCATCTTCGGAAATGAATCGGACCTGCAAGAAATTAACTCGTCATACTGTAGATTAAGGCTTAGTAAATAAAGTTTTTAGAAGTTTTTTTGATCACAGACAGACGGTACTGAACGTCTGGAAGTGAATGGCTTGAAATTTTGATGCCTATTAAGTAATTTTGCAAGATTGTCGAATGTTGATCTAAAGGTAATTCACTCAGATGAGTACCTTTTCCGATTCACTAAGCGGTATTCCATTAATCATCCAAGTAATTTCCGGATTTGGATCTCCAGTGATGACGGATTTAAAGCGAACTTCATCGCCTTCGTTGCATTCCACGTCTTCGATTACGGCCTGAACACAAATGGTTAGGTAACCTTCAACAACCGATCGGTGGACCTTCAACGGCGCCCTCCTTCGAGTTTTCAGAGTTACCTATATCAAGAGCAGTACCTGGAACTCCGGTGCGACATGGTTTTTGTCTGGGTCAGGTACCACAACTAATTTTGCTTTGCTCTCATCTGTTCCATATTCGTTTTGGATTTTAACACAGTACACTCCGGTATCGTCTGGTTGAGCGTCTCTATAATTCATTCGGGATTGAATTCGTCAGAAATTAGGCAGTAAAGGGCAAAGTGGAGTAGAAGCTCTGGAACTGACTGAAAAGTCCTCAGAAAGCATTTCCATGGACAATTATTTGAATAAATGAATAATTTCGAGAATACGACGAGGAAAAGGAACTCAAAACGCAAGCGGAAACTACGGAAATCGACTTTTTCAGGGTATTTTAGTAGAACCGGAAATCCTTTTTTTACCTAATTTCAAGTTTTGCATTCATGCCATCATATTCGATCTTGAAATCATGTGACGGCCGAAGAGGCTGATCATCAACAAGCCATACGAGTTCGGGTTCCGGCCAACCTTCGACCTGAAATCGGCTTCATTGAAACTGAGTTGGCACCGAAAATGGGTGCGTAACTTTTGAAGGAAGAACGAAATTCAATTGCACTCATGAAAATGAGTCAGGGAGATGTTGCCGGCCTACTACACCATATGGGATCTAATTCAAATTTCAAAATTAGCTAAAATAACAGTTCAAAAACTGAAATACATGGTCCTACATTTGGGATTGAATGGAGAAAGCAATTTCAATGGGCATTAGAAAGGAAAACGTAGGAAAGGAGGAAAGTAAAAAAGGATGCCAGACACTCATTCAAAAAGGGCTATATTTCCAGATAAATTTGAATGCTTGTCATGAAACTAAAAGTGGGTCGGTTAGCTGGATCAACTGGAATTCAATTTTTATTTGCTACTTAACTTGGCAGCTTCTTTTTTTAAAACAATAAAAAATCCATTTTTAGTTCTAATCTATCAATCTAAATGGAAATTTTCAGGCATTCCGATGGAAAGGAAGGTATAATTACTGATGACAGCATAACGGCAATACGAGAAAAACTTGATGTTTCAATATCGATTGGAAAAATTTCATCATTTGTGCGGAAAACGAAAAAACGAGGAATAAAATTAAAATTAATGAATAGTTAAAAAGGTCCTTCGAACTCACCTCGCATTCGAAGTTGATCACATCACCTTCCTTACATTCGCGATCTTTGAGTGTATTAACAAATCTTGGAGGTGCAGCCTCTTTTTCGACCTGAAGTCAAATTTCTACCGTAATTTCTACCGTACCTCCCCTAGAGCTAGAGGAATTTATGGAAGGCTTACCTTCAATACTCGGAAGAACGCTGATGTGGACGCTTGACCATATTCATTTGTGGCCATGCATGTGTATCGACCCGTGTCTTCTACCTGGAATCAACATCGATCTACCATAGAACTCGATTTTTGATGGATCCAGAATGCCGCCCAAAATCGATTATCGATTACCTGGACTGGATCGATTGTTAGGGCAAAGAAGCCGTCTTCATCTGCATAGAACGTGTGCCGTTCATCTTCATGTAATTGTACATCATCTTTGTACCTATAAGGGAGCATTGAATCCATAAGGAAGTGTTCGTTCCCAGGAAGTGTTCCATCGGGAAGGAAATGTTCAACCGGCGCTTTTTTTTTGAAATTTCAACACAAATTAGAACCAGGATGTAGCCGGGACAGAACAATTCGGAAAGCGGAAAACGGAAAAGAGCGATATATATCCATAAGGAGCCGCCGTCTGATGACACAAGCCCACAGTGATAATGCGAAACTCCTTCCGCAAAAACACTTTCCCGTAGATAAGTGAAAAATAAGCCTACCAGGTGATTTCAGGCAATGGATATCCTGTTACTTTAAGGCACATTTTAGCAGATGACGTAGATAAGTGAAAAATAAGCCTACCAGGTGATTTCAGGCAATGGATATCCTGTTACTTTAAGGCACATTTTAGCAGATGACTCTTGTAATGTACGGAATCCATACTGTGTTCGTGTGACACGGGTACCTTGCATTTCCAGTGTGGTACCAGTTGTGGCTGAAAATGTATACGGTAACAAAATGGTCAGCGGTAGGAAGTTCCTCATTGGATTAAGGCTTTTGTAGGTCCGCTTATAGATGTTATTTCTATTCAGCACCTTCTTTCTTTAATTCATACAGCATTTTAATAAAGTAAATCTCTATTATCATTTTGTACCTATATTAATGATAGCATTTCTATTATAAGTAAAAAAAAGCGATATTATTATCTGTCATTCCAGTTATCCGGGTAATCTCGTCCGGAACAATCCACTTTTTTGGAATATCATCCCCAAAGTATCCCTATCTATTCTATCACCGTTCGAAAACATTTTTTTATTTCAAATAGAAATTGGTTTGGGTTCCATCATCGTAGAGATTCCACTATTTCTTTTGTTGACCTTGAGATTTCAAGTTCAATAATCAAGTAAACAAATATCGGGCGGTGTTCAGTTATTTTCTACCGCCTTCCAATGACATTTTCAGTTTTTTCACTTTGACAATTTCAGTTTAACGACAAAGATCTCAAGCTCTTTTTCTATTGACTTAATGTTGACTGGCGTTGTTCCAGTTCATCTACCCCGTTCAAAAAAAGTAAACATTTCGACTTTGTTGAAATGAACTTCAAGAGGCTCTTGTGAGGGAGAATCATTTTTTCCTGAATAAATGCCTCTGGGTAAATTTAATCCGCCAGGGCTCGCTAGCATCCAGTAGGTTTCAAACTTTTCTACGTAATCCTTTCCAACAGGTGGCGCGTTCAGCAGCTCTATCTCGTGGGTTCAGCAAGCCAAAGTGTGGGGAGGGTTCAATCAGGTCATCAGCACCCACGCAGCAATAAGAGGGGGATAAGAAATCGGTATTACCAGCTGGAAAGCGTTAAATTTTTCATGAAGACGGTGACTCATACTTCACAATAGTCCGCTTAAAGTCCTCAAAAAATAGCCTGAGGACTCATGAAGCGATCACATGGCATACGGTATTTTTAGGGATAAAAAATTGTGACCACTTGTTCCATGTGATGGATTACATCAATGATCATTTCGACGTTCTTTTTAGAATACCTTAAAGTTACAGAAGAAGTAAAGACCACGATCGATATCCGATTAGTTTGAGCAAATTTTCGATGAAAAGTAATTAATTAAATATAAAAAATAATAGTCAAACAGCTGATGGAACTGAAAAATTCGGAAAAAACGCACTCCAATCTATACTGCTGCTTCCACCAGAGTATATACTGGTAGATGAACCGGTAGGTGAAATAGCCGGAGGCGACTTCACCTTTTTCCTTGGTGGGCCACCTTCTTCCGGACCTAAAATGGACAAACCTCATGTGGAAATTGACATTTTGGAAAACATCAACAACATATAACAAATAGTAAACATCACGTCTGCACTGTACCGCACAAAGACCACGAGGACCACATAAATTACGATATTTTGATATTTTCAGCGGTTTCAGTCACGGTAGGCTCTGCACTACTTGGTTTGTTTGTATTATCGATTTATTGATCCCAGTCTATTATCGATTTTCTGTCATTATTTGAAGTTGTGTTTAATCGATATCCCAGCTACTAACATGATTTCGTGCGCCCACGATCAAGATGTTCTGGGCAAACAAATATCAAGTGCTACACGTGGAAAAGTCGACACAGCAAAAGCTAATGATAAGCTTGTCCAATGGCCCCAATCAATTCGATCGATACTGTTCGATTCCTGGGACTGTTTGAACGGAAACTTTACAACTACCCCCTCAGAATCGAATTTCCCCTACGGACACGTACAAAAACGCCACAACACAGCACATACAGAGTTGATCAGCTGTTTTAAATGAAAAGCCGTTGAAAAATGCTCAAAAATGGCTGATCAACTCGTCCAACTAGTATGAATCGGGTGAATACCAGTAGCATGAGTACTGCTTCTACGTGAGCCTGAATATTCGCTGAATTCGGAACGCATATCACTGAGATGCATGTCGTATTCGGATATCGTCTCCGTTGTTTCACGTTCAGCAGCTAAGAAAATCAATAATATTAATCAATAATGAACTTACACCATGACGGATCGACGAGTTCCAGCCCGCCTTCGTGGGTTTCCGTCAGCTCAATAATATAAAGCGTTTTAAGCACCATAGTTGCTTATGTAGTCGATCGATAGTATCGAATCGCTAAGGGAGGATTAGATTCGTATTAGAAGCACACCAGGTTGGGGAGTCTGGTGCCTCCTGGGAGGGCTCAGTCGTAGGGATTGACAGTGGCGATTCGGGTTCAGATTAAGTGCGAGTGGGGGGAATATTGTCTAGAGGGGTGACAGAGTTTTCCGGAGATGACGCGTGGGTGGACTGGATAGGAATCAGTGCCAGCGCATAGCTCTCACCGGCTCAAGTGAGCGCGGCAGCGATGTCGGTGGCGGAGGTTACACGCGAGGATGGGAGAGAGATAGCGGAGGGACTGCTGAGGTGTGGTAACGGCTGTTCAGGGCTGATGAAGAAACGGCCGAGTCGAGAGTCAGGGCCTGCGCGACGCGTATTACAACCGAATGAGGGGTGGCAGGGTGGAGGGCTGAGAGCTGGTTGGCTGGACGGATGCCTGCTTGGCTGACTGATGCTACCGCCCAGGCGCTGATCACAACGGATATATTTTGGCAGCTTTGATGGCTGTCCAGGTAGGTTACATCAAAAGTCGTTAATTTCGATCAAAGAATGTTCTAGAACCAGACCAAAGGACCAAAACCGTTTCTTCAGGGTTTATATTTCAATGTGAATGTAGTCATGTGGTAATTACTTCGGACATCTTATAGTCGTAAATATTACTTTACCAACTACTTCGCAGTTCTGGCCCACGGATGAAGCAAAAGGCGTTTATTGCTCCCTCGGATATGAGTCACGCAGTCGATTCCCAACCAGAAGGAATGGAAACTTCTCTGGTCGTCCTGGACTTTTCTGATGACTCAGAAGCCAGCCTATGCTCGAACTTGGTCTTTTGCATGCCCTCTTCAGTGCGGACAAAACAGGAATTACGGATTGGGAGCCCAAAATGCCTGGGAGGGGTTCGATGTTATGGAAAGCAGGCGTACGTGAAGTATGTTGTCCTTTCGCCGTCTCCGATATCCCACGGCATAAAGGATGATTCAGAAGGTCCCCGATATTCCTATGATTCTGATTCTTAAATTTCTCCAGCACCACCTACAGCTTTTCCCAAATTTTCTCCCTCTGCCCTGAAGTGCAAGTTGAAGTCGTGTGACAGATACATACCGTATGTTTCCTGTTCTTCGGTGATATCCTTAACCCAGGCTTTCCGCACGTATTCAGATCTCGCTGTGTCTTTAGGTTTCAAACTGAAAATGGTAATGAAATTCTACCATAATTACACACTATGACCTATAATTACCTGAAACTAGGCAATCCTGGCTCGTTTGGTTTGAGAAGAATCGTGTCTTCGTGAAGTACATGTGTAGAAACTGTGTATTTATCAAGCTAAATGATACTTCAGTTACCTACTATACTTTACCATACTTTCTAAAGTGCATCAGTAAGTAAATTATACGGTAGACTCTAGTCCTAAATTTTCGAGAGGCCATTCCTAACTCACCCTGATAGTGGCCAAATGAGTATAAGTGGTTGGTTCAGTAGAATCATTCTTTTCAGTGATCATCAATTTGTTCTTGAAAAGGAAGACATAGCGAGGCTTCTCACTCTCGTCACCTTCCGCGACTTCAAACGAGTCCTGAAATTACGTCTGCTTGAAGCCCTCGAAGAGTAGGAGGAAGTAACTCCCAAAAAATCTCCGGCAGAAGCAACATTGGTGAAATGTTGATGGGAAATGCTCTGAAAGTTCAATACTTACATGTCGAATGAGTCGTCCAAGTTTGTTGGTATCTCCGGGATACTGTAGGATATTATTAGTGTAGACTAGGTCATGTACACGTTGCGGAATGCCCAAAGTGAGTTCGAGAGCTTTCTGCATACTCTTGCTGCTCTGATTCGCTCGGGCTGTGTATTTGACGAATTCCTGAAAAATACATTTGTAGAAATTTCCGAGCTCCTTACATATTATCCAAAAAACTTCCATGAAGTTGCGGAAATTTTCCTTTTGAGAAAGTGCTTTTGGCTTGCGCCCTATGAAACCTCTGAGTCAAGAAGGATACATTCAAAGAGGAAATTATGAAAGTGTACCGCTCATGGATTTCTCTGAATCGACAATTTTTCTGTGAACTTCATATATACCTGCTGCTTTGCCATGATAGTATTGTATTATGGGAATTGCAGATCACCCTCTTTCGAAGGACCCATTGAGTTGGGTTACTAGGATTACTTAGATTCCCCATTCTCCGACTGAACAGGGAGGTACTTCAGGTAATTCAAGGTTGAGGGAAAGCACTGAGTAGAATAGAAGAATGCGTTCAAAGGGTTCTTTTAATAGCCCAAATGTGAGTTGGAGATCGTGAAGTTCTTCAACCGATGCATCTACCGATTCCATCCAAGCTTTATCCCGGTTTGATGCATAGTTTATTTTGAGAATAAAAGTGGAAATAAAGAAAAATCGAGATGAATTACGAGTTTTAAGCAGAGCCTTTAAAGATCATTTCAGGTTCATGGAATATCGTGGTTTCCCTTCTTCCAGAGCCAGAATGCTTGGCCTTCAACTGGCCAGAAATCCCAGTGTCAATCTTCAACGCGAAATTTTTCGGGATCAACTTGGCCTACAAAAGGTCATGAAAGGAATACAGCCTACCTTTTGTCCTGGAAAGGAAATTTTGAGGGCTCTGTAAACAGAAATCTCGATCTTTTGTTACCACCAATAGGGAGAACCCTGTATCTACACTGGAACTTTTGAATTCCAATCGCATAAAAAGTCTTCATCCTGCTCGAAACTCGGAGCAATGGAACTCGTACTACTTTAAGGATGGTTTCATACTTGTTAAACGCACCGTGTACATTTTATTTAAAGAAATTCACTTATATCACACTTACCTTGAAGAAGTTTTGGTAGTGCGTGATTCTTTCGGAGACATTCTTTAGATGTTCCGCAAACGTGTGAGCTCCAGCCTCGTATTTATCGGTTATGGACTGAAATTAAAAGAGCTCAAACACCAAGTAGGAAGATTTCGAAGCTTACTGGTATGTGCTCAATGGGCACACGATTCTAATAAGACTTCACAGACACAGCAAAGCACAGCATTCAACAGAAAAGACAACGAGAAAGTGAAAAGAAACCGGAAGATTCAAAAAGTAATTTGGTAAGGATTCAACCAGGTTGAATGTCGATATTTTTCAAAGTTCCTAGGAAAGAGACAGGCTGATTTCGATGTTTATCTTGAGCCCCGACTACAACGTTTGGATTTTTCTCGTTTCGACTACCACACACTAACAACGAGTTTCAGTCATCAGAATGAGCGGAAAAGTAAACAGCTGTATTTGCAAGTAGACGGTCGTGTTTTACATCCCCTCAGCCCTAAGATGGTCTTTCACAGTTTACAGCGTAAAGTGTGCTCAATTACTGTACCGTTACAAAAAACCTAATCTCGTTTTGTGAATGGACCGATTCTGAATGAATGTCCTACACTTATCATTCAATAAACAAATCGTAGAGGCAGAAAGGGCCTAAGGACTTAACTAGTAACAGTCCCATCCCACTATGCAGGTCCGCGAAATCTAAAAGGTCGCGGAGGCAAAACGAAGCTAGAGACAGTGAAAGATTGGCCTCGACTGAGAAAAGGAGCTCAAACTTTGTATGTACTTTATGTGTACGCACCCTAATTAAGTTCTCAACCTCGCAGTAGAACTCGAATGGGAATAAAGTTTTTTTGGGGTAGAGGAGAGGAAGGGGGGGGGGCAAGTGAAAAGTCCTACAGAGACCAAAAGTGAAATTATACGTTCAGGTCACGGCAACGAGCCCCACCCTTAGATTTGAGAGTATTTCAAAGTAGCATAATGCCTAATTGTAAGAGTAACTTCTCTCAAGTATAAGAGAGAAAGCGTGAAAGAGTGAAGAGAAAAAAAGATGGTTGGCATGGTCAGAGTTAGATCCAGTTATACGGAGTAGTTCATCCAGACAATATCCTTGTTCTTCCCAGAACTCAGATGGCTCTACTCAGATAGGCCTGCGACTGGACGCGACCGGAGCGGATCGCAAACGATGAGACAGGGCGTTGATGCGAACAGCCCCTGTCCGCTCAAGGGCGAGAGTAGGGTCTGCGATGGTACGGACATGAACTATGAGTACCGCAGAATTATCTGATAAAGGAAGTTATGAAGTATGAGTAAAAGTATGATTCAGTATGAGAGTATGTATTATAGTAAGTAAGTAAGTAGTATGATTACGATGCAAACCGAAGGTGATGAGGCGTGACCAAGAAAGACGTAGTCGAAGCTAAAATAACGGCAGAAGTTGCTCTAGGAAGAAGAAGAGATGGCTGACGAGAATCGCGAACGATAGCGAGAGAATGAACTGAGCTCCACCAAGGACTAATTTTGAATGAACTGAGAGGCATTTGAAGTTACAGCAGTCCAATAGGGAAAACTATCTTGCTCCAGAGGTGAAATACTGCAGGCAAGGGCAGCTTTCCTTAGTGATTTTCGTAAATACAAGTGATGTAGGGTGCGGAGATGAAATATTGTTTGAGAAGCAACGATGAAAGAGGTGGAGACAATTTCCTTTTTCGCTATAGCGCTATAGCATATAGTGATTACGAAAATGATAAACAAGAGCTACAGCCGATAAGGGAAGTTCAACATTGTGTTCTTTTACTCTGATTCTGACTAGTTATTCGACTGATTTTTTTAAAATTTTCACTTATAAGATTACGGGGAGTCCGCAAGATGTATTATAGCTATTACAAGTGGTCCCAGCTATTTTGGACAGTTCTTTTGTCAATATTTTGAGAACATTCAGCATTTTGGCTCAAGAAATCGCGAGTTCAAATGGGAAATACGAAAAGGAATTACAGAAAGAGCCACAAAATGTGCTAAATACCATTTATGACTTCAAAGTGAAAGTTTGTAAAGGGGAACCTTTCAATAAAAAACCCTTTCGAGTATTAAAATCCACTCGAGAAAGTAGATGAAGGCTTCGAGAAAATGAGACAGCTAGTGTTCAAAGAATTCATGGCTCAAAATATTACAGTTGGCAGAATGGAGATTGTCGTGCTGAGTGGTAGAACTTATAATTTTCGATAGGATCTCAAAGAATGGCAAGGGGGTGAGGAAATACGGGCAGAAAGTCTCTAGGCGTTAATCAGCCCTGTCTGCGTGGATGCGCACATTCCGCTTTCGTTTAGAATCGTAGTGGCATATTGAATGCGTATGTGGCCAACACGGGTGTGGTGCAGTAGGAACGAAATTGTCGCGTCGCGGCTAGAGGGACGCCGCGCGCGAAGAATATAGCAGAACGCAGCAGCAGATAAGAAATACTGAAGCAAAGGAACTAAAAGTAGAATCATGCCTGAAAAGGATTGCATATTGATTGAGCTGTACGAAGAACGCCTGAGCTGTATTAACGGAAACGAATGGTCCGCGACATCCGCGTGCGGCGAATCGATTACACTTAATCGTTCCTACTGCCCGTTTCCCGGCCAATACAATGCTTTTCTGTGGCCAGCGATGTACAAGTCAGTTTCCGAACGGCCTATTACCCCGTCGTTAGAGGGTTGGAATACCTGGCTTGACTAGGCGGATACCGACCCCGATCTCGAACCTGGGGCCATGCGAGTGTGATAGTGCGCCACCTGCCACTACACCATTTTTACCCAAAAGGGAACTGAGGGGGCAACTTGACAGGAAAATGCAAATATGAAAGAAATCGAGGGCTGACGCGAGACTTGCTTCAACGCGAGTCCTCTGAAAATTGAATCGGGAGCAATTTCTGTGAGTAAACTGTGGAAATGCTTGATTGTGCTATGCTGACCAAAAAGTTGTGTTGCTTGATATGAACACTACCATAGATGAAAAGTAAGGCCTTATATCTTAAAACTAGCTCTAAACACTCACAGGACACCGAAGACATAGATATGGACTTCGAGATAGATATTAACAGGGTTTCCGAAATGAAGGGAATGAAATAGCGCGACAACTAACTAGGTCTAATTTATTTCTGAACTATAAGGCAAGGAGGAGTTTTCAGGGGGAAAGAGGGGAGGGGGGGGGGGGGGGTAGAAGTAAAAAAGGAATTGTGGACCACTCAACTTTTCTGAACAGATAAAGACTTCAGAAATGAGAAGCCAATTTACCATTGGGTATACAAGTTGTAAATGTGAAAAACGTCATGCTCGGATACCTATAAAAGGTACTGAAGAAATGATGAGGGGGTCAAGGGAAGCTGTATAAGTGATCCTGGGGAACTGAGGAATCCAATCATTAAACAAAATCTGAATACTGAAATGGGCAAACTTTCGAAAATTCAGTAAGGATGCACCGTTCGTCTTTAGCCATGATAGCCATGAGAAGATAATGTGAAACATTCGGCCGGGGGGAGGGGGTCCGATTTCCTCTTCCCAAACGGCATGCCGCGCTCGCCGCACTCGATCGCGCGCTATGAAGGGAACATTTGAATTCTCAGTGAAAGGATACGGCAGTAGCCGCGGAACCACTGCCGCTGGCCCTGGGAATTCAGGAGAAGTTCCACCACCCGGACCGTGCTTGTTAAGAGCTTCCCGTGCTCCCGTGCGAAACTTTGCGATCTCCACCATTTATGCCTACAGCTGCGCGGGTTTTTTTTTTTT